GAGTCAGCCTCGAGCTTGACAGGATACAGTGGGATAAGCCAGGAAATACTGGACCGGTTCTACGACCACTCTTTGGCAGTCCATGATGACATCCCATCGTCTCAGCTCCCGACCTTGAGCTTTAGTACTGACGAATCCTCATTGTTGAATACTACCGAGGAAAGAAGTACCCAGGACTCGACCCAGAACAATAAGCCTACCCCTCCATACCAGCCATTAGCTGCGCAATCTGCTCATCTTAGTGACCTTGAAGATGTGCCCAGTGCAGCATATCTACAATCAATCTCACCGCAGACGATGACGGTCAACCTCATCGTCGGTATTATCTCCATAGCCGAGCCACGGACGGTGAAAACTAGGTGGGGCTCAACAAAGTCTCTAATTGAACTTCTCGTAGGAGATGAGACCAAGTCTGGGTTCAGCGTCACTTTCTGGTTAACACCAGAACTCAACGAGTCCTCGAGCAAGATCCTTAGGGAGCTTCGTAGGCAGGACATTGTGCTTCTCCGCAACGTTGCGCTGAGTGTCTTCATGAAGAAGGTGCATGGGTATAGCCTACGGAAGGGCCTCACCAAAGTTGACCTACTCAACAGAAGGAAGTTGGACAAGGATGACCGGGGCGGTTTATATTCTATGAAGGATGTTTCATCGAAGAAACCGGCACATCCTCAATTACTAAAGACAAGACGGGTACGGGAATGGGTCATGAACTTCGTTGGTGGTGGTGGTACGGCTCTCGGGAAAAGAAAGCAAAACGGGAAACCCATGAGGACTTGGGATATGCCACCAGAAGACACGCAATAAGATGAGTTGCTCTGCGAAAGTGGTTATCTAGAGGTATGGTCGCACTTTTTGCAGGTACAAGGTTCAAATACCTACTACCAAGTCTTATCTTATAAGCTTTGGCGGAGAAGTCTGGTCCATCAAAATGCACCACTATACGATCAAATCCTCGGCAAAAGCAGCATAGGGGGAAAATGTGAGTTACATTGTATATGAATTACTTTTGGGGGTTCTCAACTGATATCGATTTGTGCTCTAGACAATACTCACATGATACGATGCATTAGTTCTTAGATCTAACCTAACAGGTCCCTACTTGATTTAGTTGGCCTGGTCAATTTCGAAGGATTTTACTCCATTTTGCCATGGTTTTTATTTGCATGGGTGCCTATCTATTGCTACTTGAATAGTCCCAGGTCGATACCTGCCTAGAGCAAGGTTTGAATTGGCCAATTAGACTCGACTAATACAGCCCAGAACATCGTGGGGCTTGGCACTCATGTCACCGCCTACCTCTTACGGGTTCAATCTACCCCTCCATTCAGATTTTTGTGTGCTATTCACCCCGCTATTTGGCAATATGAAAATTATTTAGTAACAGAAAGGAATCGCAATAGTTTTCCTGCATAAGAAGTTCGTACATAAAAACATAACGTGGTTTGGCAAGCTAATTTATTTTTATTTTCGTGCCGTGTGACCTTCCTTGGGCTCAATAGGTTAGATCTTTTTTTTCTTCCCTCGGGTCATCTATCTCCTTTTGCCCATTGATAAGTTTGCGCGTCTTGTCCTCCTACTGACTGCGCGATAATTCGTAGCTCAACATCCCATCACCAACTTGCCTACCACTCACACCAGGGCGACGTTTTACAATGGCAGGCTACGATTATTACATGACTCCTCTCGACTCCCGCTATTCCAGCGAGGAGATGAAAAAGCTCTTCAGCCAGAGGAGTAGACATAGTACTTGGCGCCAGCTTTGGTTATGGCTCGCCGAAGCTGAGAAGGAGCTTGGTCTCGAGTCCAGTAAGCAATTGACACTTTTTCTATGACACCAAACCGTCGCCGCTATACTTGAGCCCATCGCATATATTGCGCACGTAAATTGCCACAATGGATTGCCACAATTTCCGTAATATCGTAGACTTTACATTCATTAACTAGAAGTGGTACTATAGTCACGGACGAAGCACTCGAACAGATGCGGGCCCACCTTACCGTAACGGACGATGACTTCCAGATCGCAATCGAAGAGGAGCGCCGACGCCGGCACGATGTCATGGGACATGTCCATGCTTATGGCGTTGTTGCGCCCGCGGCTGCTGGTATCATCCATGCTGGTGTAGGCTCATGATGAATCCGTATAACTTTATATACGCTAATGTCGCACATAGGCTACTTCGTGCTTCGGTAGCTTAGCATGTACCCCTTTATACGCCATATTGTTATTAATTGCCTTGTAGTTACTGATAACACCGAGTTAATTCTTATGCGCGACGCTATGGATCTTCTTCTCCCCAAGTTGGCCAAGGTCATTAGGGTAAGTCATCGTTCTAGAGCTATAGATATACCTAAAGCATATCACTCAGAGATTTGAGTACTGATTCAATAATGTAGTATGTAAACGAACGGTTGCGACAGTTGTCTCATGTTTTTTAAGATGCGCACTTAGAAGTGGCGCAACTTGTAAGGGGAGATGACTGGTAAAGAATGCTAACTTCCTATAGCAATCTGTCCAACTTCGCGCAGCAATGGCGCGATGAGCCCACCCTTGGCTATACGCACTATCAACCTGTAAGTAGCCTTGAATAGTACCTTATAAACGATCGAGGCTGTCTGGCTCGAGAATGGTCCAAATACTTGGTCGTCAGGAAGAGGTCCTCGCGATCATAGTGATCCTATTATCTTTAAAAGGCTTAAAGGGGTGAAATTATTGACATTCATGGTCAGGCGCAAATGATTACGGTCGGCAAGCGAGCTGCTCAATGGATCCAAGAACTTGTGATGGACCTTGAGGATATCGAACACGTGCGCAAAGAACTCCAATTCCGAGGAGGACAAGGAACCACAGGCACTCAGGCATCCTTCCTTGAGCTGTTTAAAGGCGATGAAGCCAAGGTCGATGAACTTAATGTTCTTCTTTGCAAGAAGGCCGGATTCCCCGGTGTAAGTAGCCTATTCAATCGTATCGAGGTTGTGTTTTTAATGCTAATCGTTGCAGTGTTATTCAATCTCGACGCAGACTTACACACGAAAAGTCGATCTGCGGATAGCTAATGCTATCGCTGGCTTAGGCGCCACCGCACAACGTATCACATCTGACAGTAAGTATCAAATGAACCCACAGAACAACTCGCATGGTGCTATGTGAAGACTAACTCTGATAGTTCGTCATCTTGCCAACCTCAAGGAACTGTTCGTCGAACCCCTTGGTAATTTCACCTCGCGTAAACTAACTCTTATCATTAGGGAAGAACCATTTGAGAAAGATCAAATCGGCAGTAAGTACTTTTTGAAACAAATTTATGATGTGACGTCTCGTCGGGATGTTCGAAAAAGGTACTAACGTCGGTGGTCTAGGCTCCGCCATGGCGTACAAGAGGAATCCTATGCGGTAAGTATAGAATACTCTGGCTGTCAGGTCACGCCTGAGAGAATCGGGGTAGCTTTATTATGACCTATGTTGCTAACTGAATCATTCATAGCTCTGAGCGTATCTGCTCTCTTGGCCGCAAACTTGCAAGTCTTCCGGTTAATTTCTCCAACACATTTTCTGCACAGTGGCTAGAAAGATCCCTCGACGATAGTGGTAAGCAACCTAATGCTGCTTTTGATGTATACTTCTAACAGGTAAATTGTATAGCCATTCGTCGCATCGACATTCCAGAAATGGTGAGACATGAAAACTCAACTCAATCCAGAAGAGGCTATAGAAGAGCTCACCATTATTAGTTCCTCCTCGCGGACGCTATTTTGATCGGACTTGATAATGTGACGAACGGTTTGGTCGTTTACCCCAAGCGAATAGATGCGCGTAATAGACAGGAGTTACCTTTCGTACGTCCATTTCAGCCTACAATTGCGATGCCTTTAGCGCTTGCTTACGAGCGCTATATGAATTCCATCCTTTCCTCTTTCCTGATTTCAACATTTGCTAACCTCGGACGTTGCAGATGATTACTGAAGCGATATTAATGAAGATGGTATCAAAAGGGGGTTCTCGACAGGAAGCGCACGAGAAAGTTCGAGTGCTTTCCCACGAAGCCAGCCATGTTGTCAAGCACGAAGGTATGTTTAAGAACCACCTGTTCCCATATTGATGATTCCCTCAAATGATTACTGCGTTTCTATACTCATACTAACCAACTTTACAGTATGTTCTAATGCCCTCTTATATTCACGAGCCTCACATAATCCCATACGCATCTTGAGCATTGCGAGAGCAAGTTCTTTACATAAATTATGCATCTGGCTAACATCTACTAGGGTGGTAATAATGATCTCGTTGAGCGCATCAAGAAGGATGAGTACTTCAAGGACATTTGGGATGAGCTTGATGCGATGTTGGACCCTAAACTGTACACCGGCCGAAGCGCTACAATTGTAAGCCCTTGTCGTCCCTTAACCATATCGTAGGGTCCTTAGCTTTATTCATGAGCCGTAGTCTCGATGGATCGGCCCCTATCCCGTATGAAAGTCTTAGAATGTAGCAGATGCTAACTATAGACGATTTAGGTTGATAGGTACTGTGGTAAGGGGGGCGTAGTCGAGAAGAAGCTGGTGCCGTATCGGGAATACATTTCCAAGGCTGAGACTTTCCAGCTTAGCCTCTAAGCGCCACATTATATACATTTATTGGCTACGCACCTCCTCGAGGCAATTACTGCTACACACGCTTCATGAGGAGTGTGCGGCACCTCTCATATTTTCGTTTTTATTTTAGATGAAGCAAGGAGTTCTTGGGCACGATAATCTACGCGGCGAGACATGGAGAAAACAGGTTCTCGGGATAGAGATGTACGAGAGCAATCGTTATGGACCACCCAAAAAAAAGCACTTATGGTATTCTGATAATTCGCGAAATACGACAAAATAAGATAGTCCTTCTAAATGAAATGCTCTTTCTTTTACAATTTCAAGGTGCTGTGGTAATACTGCGTGAATGTTCATTCATATTGATTAACAGATGAAACCTGATCTCCATGGTATATAATTGCAGGGGTCTGATGGTCTAGTGGTAGGATTCTCGCTTTGGGTTGAATTTTCTCTGCCTTAAATGCGAGAGGTCCCGGGTTCAATCCCCGGTCAGACCCTTTCGTGTTCACTTTTTCCCCCTTTTGCCTCGTTTTTGGACCAGGCTGAATGTTGGGATTTGCTTACTTTTACTTACTTTTTACCCCTTGACCTATCGAGGGAAATCCCTTATTGGGCGATATCTACCTATGCCTTTCTCCCAACCAATCATATTCGTCAATCTCCAAGTCAGGGTCACCGTTGAAATAAGCCGTCGATCCCGAAGCAATTCGGTCATTCTCGATATTCAAAGTCTTATTAGGTGTGAGGATGGAAATAGATGCAAATCCATCGCCGCTGTTGGGCAGGTTGGAAGTCGCTACGGCTCTTGGAGGAACAATCTTCTTCCCAGGGTTGGGAGCATAAATCTAGCCATCTACCGTATGTATAGCTCCTTCTGGTTTATAACTTCGACACTTTGATACGACATCATCTCACCAACCCTCCGCGTTCTCCAACGATATCCTTGCTAAGCGCTGCATCATTGGCCGTCTGCATTGACCGGGTTAAAGAACCCTACAGAGCCATCTTCAGGAGCCTCAATGGCTCAGTGATGCCGTTTTCTTCTAAGGCAATAAAATCTGATGTTGATCTTGAATTAGATCGTAATTTGAATCTTAAGTTGTTGGGCGGCCATAGGCCCATGCGTGGACTAAAAAGTTGACCCCACATGTGTCTTACGGTGTCGCCCGTCCAGATTTATCCTGCGTGTCTGACAATAAGCCCTCGGGGTCGGGATCCGGCGGGGGATCCGCGCTGGCTGGATTTGAGTCAGGCGAAGGATAAGCTTCGAGAAAATGCTTCTTGCGCAGCGCCGCCAATCGTATCTTCTTGATCCTGGTATTGATGTAGGTGCCAACGAGAAAGGACATGGCATTAGAAGCGGGTACCTGTGCACTCTCGGGTAGAAACCGGTATCCGCATAACAGATTCACAGGCGCAAGGATGTATATAATTTTTGTCATAGGCATGAAACCGACACGTACTGTGGCACGGACTTGGTGGTAGGTACGAGCGCCGGCGGCGATGGCCATGAAGACGATGTAGACTATGTTAAGGAAAGGAATAATCTGGAGAAAACTATTTGTTAATATCTGAGGCCTGTCGGACAGAGTGGTAGAATGCGGCTTTGCTGATGACGGTGGGATAGACGGATAGATTTGTTACGTACTAGCAGATTGATGATCAGTATCTGGAGTGCCTGGGAGGCCAGACTCGTGTGACCGCTGAAGCACATGTGTAAAACCCACTTTATAGCATCACGGAGTGGTACGTGGATGAGGGCTCCGTACACTGCCATTTTGGGGACGCGCGACGTGAAGTAGTTGCCATCACGATTTCTATCTTTTGCCAGCCATGAGGCGACCAGTTCTTCCAAGCCGTAGAGACCCGCAGTTGTGAGCATACCCGTCTTTGCCCAAGGCGGCCCAGGGACGGCCATCATCACCAGGTCGTTGGTGGACACTTCGTCGGCGGTGGGTGCCATTGGCGGAGGGAATTCCCTCTCTAGTAGACGACCTGGACGCAATTTGGTGAACATGCGGATAGGATCTCACATTACTCGTAGCCGACTTACTGTTTTGTAGTGCATGCTCGTATGCCTGCCAGAGAACCATCAAAAATGTTTGGAAGTTTGGGTCGTCATGTGAGTGAAATTTGTTCAGACCTCGATGATCCGTGTCAAGAGCTAGGAGCCTGCCATGGCGAAGCTGGAAGTGGTTCGGACTGACTACCTAGGTAAGCAGATGAAAGCATTAGTTTAAGGTGGTCAATACGTCGATTGATAGAAGATTCTTACTGGGCCCAAGGCGAGATTTCCGATCCTTTCTGGCCTCCTTTCGAGAATATCGCAGATATATGGTCGAGTGTCCTCCGAATGATACTGCATTACGTATGCGTCGTAGAACTCAGACTCGAGGTCCAGTAGGCTTGGGCCATTTACAGCCATTAGTTCCAATAGGTATGATGACGAACCGCGGAAGAAAGCCATGCAGGACAGGCATGATGCAAAAATCGCAGCGTTGCTACCCTGATGAGGTACGCCGAGGAAGATGATCCCCTTAGTCATTGCCGCCACGTCCTTTGAACGGGCTTTAGCGAAAATCAGAGCCTGAGCCATTTGATTAGTCCTAGGTGAAGGTAGAACAGCGACGTTGCTCTAAGTAGTGAGAAGTCTCACTTGCCTTCTTTAGTAGGAGTCCCCCGAAGCTATGTGCGATGAACACTATGGGCCGCCTAGGATTTGCCTGTACAAGCACCTCTTTTAGTCTAGATACTACCCGATGTTTATTTCAGTATGTACTCACCTTGTGGATGCTCTGAATATGCTCTAGCAGCTCAGACGCATGCTCATGAAGTCCCAACTCAGCAACGTTTGAGTCCCATCGTGTCTGATGGTTGACCTTCACAACTCTGACATTATGAAGACCCTCAGCTGTCGGCAGTAGGTCTCTAAGCCAGTTAACCTCAGTACCGTTATCTCTTTTGTAGGTCCAGGCGCTGTCTGGGTTCGAACCAAGGCCGTGGATGGCGATGATGCTTGCGTCAAGGTTAGAGAAGACTTGCCTTTTATTAGGGGGTTACTAACTCGATTTCGGCACTGTTTCCGGCATCATACATGATCTCCGTAGCTCTATGGACGGAGTGCACGGTGTATGGTGCGAACAAGTCCATTAGCGTTGGCATAATAACGTGGAAGGGTGTGATCGATATACACCACGATGTTAACGAAGCTAGGATAATACAGTGGAACACAGCTTTCCACAAATACTCGAACGGTCTAGTTCTACGCCGGGTAATATCAAGAAGAAAACGATACGTAAATATAAAATAATAATATGTGAAGTAGAGGCTTATTATGATCAGTCGCCAACAAAAAGCGATAATGGGCGAGTACACGATGGATACAGCCACGAAGACGTGGGCAAGCAGTTGAATCTGATCATCACCATCATCATGCTTACGCCCGACAGAAGACCTTGAGCGGCTACGCTCCGGTGCCGAGGCTAAGGCTTCGCCCCGCGTCTCTACCATGATCGTGGTGTATATGCGAGAAATGGAATCATCAGTAATAATACTACCACTAGCAGTATTTGAGGGCTCGGCGGGGGAGTTTTTTGTATGTATGTATGTATGTATGTATGTATGTATGTCCCTTTGATATAGATGCTGCCAAGTTTGTTCAGGGGAACGGGTGGGTAACTTTATTGATTTTGAGGTGTTAAATATCTGACATCTCCCCCCCCAAAAAGAGTCTCATTCGAAATGGAGAGCTATAAGTATGCAGTCAGCGACTCTTGGCCAATAGATGGTGCAGAGTCTAGGTAAGAAGGTCGCTACCGACGTATACAGGTGGTTTCAGTCATACGACAAGCTGAAAAATCTACGCAGTTGTCAAAGGCAGGGTACCTACAATTAAGCCTTCAGGCTGGCTCTAGAGGTGCTAGTGATTGGGCGTCACATAGTGTACAAACGACAGGGTCTTTGAGGCTCTTCCTTGCCTTGGTAATAGCGCCATTCCCTCTAAGAGAAAGCGGAAAGTATCTCCGTGTGAGGACATGCAAGTCGGAGATGCCGACTTGGCCACGAGGCACTCAAGATAAACCATCACCGCAGCGCTAATAACCGTCTAGGCTATATACCCTTCTCTTAAATTTCTGGCATTTTCGTTAGTTTTGTTTCTATAAAACCGACTGTGATAAAAAGCTTGAATCCTGTGTAAGGCACGCACGTCAGTAGACTGATGGTTGCCTCTAACGCAAGCTGTTGCCTGTGAATTCTTTCAGCTCTTGGAAATGTCGGCACGTTGTAGCTTGGCTTATGCAGTTGCGTTACAGCAGATAGAATTCTGATGTGACAGGTACCAATCAATCGCTGCCACCTAGCGCGGCTGAATCTGCAATAGAAAAGTTATGACACTACTTGAATGTACCAAGTATATCCGCAATGCTTCGGTTGAAGGGGGTTAAAGGCTCGCTCTCGTGGTCTTTAAAACCAGCGATGGGATGATGCGATTTTGATGAGCAGGAGGCACTCATTACATCGGATTCCCAGGTATATTCGATCGCGTTCAATCGTTTAATACGGCCAAGTAGTATGGAGGGCGTCCCTTTTGAAGAGAGCCACGAACTATGCAAGGAATTAGAAATCGATGAAGACACTACCGAGATTCGACCGAAAGCCGCGGAGGCAACACGGACAGATGCTTCCCCAGGTCAAGTGATAACGCCGAACAATATACTGCCTGGAGAACCCCGAGTTGAGCTCACGGACCCGAACATATATGAAATACTCCAGGAGGAGTTAATGACGAGGTCGCTGAATAAGCTTGCGCCACATTTCTGGCTCATGACTACACAGAGGAGCAACAATATTCGTCCTCTTACAGAGCAGCTTATCCAAGGTCGGGCCATTGCTCTCACGGAGATGCCAGGATTGCACCTGGTATGGGTCAATGGCCGGGTCTTCGTCAAACCGTTACCCAAGTACCTCCTCTCGTACGCTTTTTGGAAGCATTATCTCGTCTCGGCCAAATCTCCCATACAACAGGTTCACCGGGAGGAGCTTCTTCAGGCGGCGCTAGGATTCCTCCGCTCGTACGCGTATCTAATCCAGCACGAATCGGACTTCCGGTTGGCCACAAAGGAGGAAAAGACACGCCTTATCCCCGAGGGCGTATCGTATGCAGATTTCGCCGCATTTATCGTCCGCTTCAAAGTGGATGACAAATTTGTCTCACCGCGCTATCAAGTTGGCGAGCTGCGCCTCGCGCGCCTCAACTTTTGGAGCAAAGTATTGCTCTTCAAGAGAAGTTACTACCCCGTCAAATGGGAGTATGCTGCCTACTTTGCGCAGTTTTACGCGCCATTACTGTTCGCATTTGCCATGTTCTCCCTCCTTATGAGTGCTATGCAGCTCGTCCTGGCTGTACGGACTGTTCTTGAGCCAAGCGATTCCTGGCTTCTATTTGCTAGGGCCGCCCGCGGATTCGCACTCTTTACTGTTTTCATTGTCGCTTTCG